TCCCTCAAATATCCTGCTGTTCGCACAAAGTTGGGGTCACCTGACAAGGATGCTTATCATCACCCTGGAAAAATCTGAAGAAATTGATAGTCCTGAAAAACTTTGGATTTCCCTGCAAGCAATGCAAAATATCTGTCAAGGACCTAACCCCTAAAGAGCTGGTAGCTGTAAGTACTAACCTCGGAACCTCAACTACAATTTGAACGTAGGGTTGTGACATGTTGTCTTCAATCTTTGTTGTTTGGATTTTGGACAGTTCAGTCAAACACTTCTCAAAAGTACAGAAAGAAGAGCAAATTCTTTTTTGCAGTAACTTCTCCTTCTTATGCCTCCTTTCCTTCCCTCCGCATTCTGTAGTTTTATTTTATTAAAACATCGATTAAGCTTGTTGCCCTAAGTGTTAACTTTGATGACGGACGGGCGCTGATGAGGATCCTGATTACATAAATGCTTTGATAGTTATGGGGCAGACTCACACTGCAGAAGCGGCTAGCGAGGCTATTGAATTTGGAGCGTGCTATCTCCAAGGTCCGTCTAGTTTAATTTAATTATCTTATTTTTTTCACAATCATAGGTTTAGAGATAAGTAGATTTATATGGCGGGAAGCATGCTTTATATGCATTATTTATGGTAATTACAGAATTTTAATAAAAGCGTTTTATTAGTTGGAAAGAGCATATAAAACCTTCATACATTGTGATTTAGTCCACACCCAATTTATTTTATCCTACTTTTGATTCTTTCTAATTTTGAAAGTATTTTTTCTTCTCATATCAACGTTATGCTGTTTCATTAACTAAATTTGTTTCTTTGACATCACATCAGCTCTTCATCTCCACCATCCCACAAAGTTGAAAATATTGATCTTTATTGTTGCTTCTCAGTGGGTCGGTGTTGCCTATATAAGACAGTAAAAACTCAGTGATGCTTTTGGGATTCTACTCACTACTCTGAAATAAAAGGTCATGAGTGTAACTATTATTTCCAAAACTAGGCCACAATTTGAGTTCAATTTTAGGACCCAGCCATGGGCCACTGTAAACTTTTTGAGCTCGGTGAGCAGGCTTAAAAATATATTACTCGATGAAGAAGGGCATTCATTTTTTTTTTTTTCATTTGTTTCCATTTTCTTGTGTATGTTACAGGAAAAAATGGCTGAGGAATTACTACCCTGGAAAGAATTGCAAATCTGGAAGAGCTAGAGGAAAAAAGTTCAAACCCATTATTATGATGATTGGTATTACTTTCAAGGTATAATTTACACAATCATTTCTCAAGTGTTTTTACTTATAACCTGATATTCGCTCGTCTCAGAATTGATTCAATATTGTCATTACAATTTATGTCTATTGTTGGGCAACTACTGGGGTTTTTCAGTGCTTTATGTAATGTAGTCCAAGGCTGAAGTTGTAAGCATCTGCATTTAGCTGCTGCTTTAATCCCGAGTATAATGAACTACGTGCAACATTTGAAAACGACGACGATGATTTACAAGTGAGCTACCAGCAGCAGGAGAGGAGATTACTAATTTATTTGTAAAGTGTACAAGACGATGTTGTAAACTCATCTGCTCGAGGCCACGTCACAACACATTCATATCCCTAATTTCCGGACTATCAAGATTGTAGAGTCCTGCAATAATTCCCAGTCTCGATCGATCAACTCGTGATAAGCATTCTGGGAAGTTGTTTGTAAAAGAGATGTTAAGTATTTTATTCCTTTGTTTAGTGAATTATAATTATACATTGAAATAAGCTTTAACTAGCGCTTTGAATGCAGATACTAATAGTGCACCGCGGCACTCCCAAATTATGAGAACTGATTCTTTTTTTTTTTTTTTTGACTTAGAAAGAGGAGAGAACTATTTTTTCAAGAATAGAATTAAATTGGACATTATGTTTTGTAATAAAATCCCTTCAATATTATTAATTTGCCCAACGCCCTTAAGCTTTTGCTCAATTTTGATTTTCTACCTATACATTTTACTTTAATTATTATTGACCTTTCTGATATTTGCTAAGGTATTGGTACTACTGCTCATGTTAGTTTGGCAAAAATACTTGACGGAATCGGTTGCCTGAAAAACCCAATCCCACTGACAGAGTTATCCTCGAATGGGGGGTCGGGCCTAGATAGAGTTAATCTTGACCGCGCCCCTATATATTATGTTAACTCTTGTGTTAAACTACTCTGATATATATTTTTGTGTTATAAAATGATGAAGAAAAGAAAAGCATAAAAAGAAGGACATTTTATTATGAAATAAGAAAAAGAGAAGGTTGCACTTCATATAAAGCAAAGAAGCAAATGGCATGAAGAGGAAGGTTATATTACATAATGCATCTTGAAATGAATGATTCAATCTTCGCCTTCACCCCCAAGACTGCTTTTCTTTATAACATGATAGGTATTCAAATCAATGCGTCCATATGTACTGAAGCAAATCTATTACATAGTTAAATTATGTGAAATATTATTGTCCTCAAGAAGAGCAATCAATATGTACAGAAGAAATCTATTACACACAATCAGTACATTACATATAATAGACAGCATCCAATAACTTGCAACATTGTGATGAAACCAAGCAGCCTGACATGTCCATAGATTTTGACGCATTAACATGTTATAAAAGTAAAGAATGATGTTGTAACAAGGTGAAACCAAGCAGCCTTGGCAGCAAAGGCAGAGGATGGAATCATTCAAAAATTTCAGATGAATTACATGCTTTCCTTCTTCATAATAATCACTTTTTCATGCTCAAACTTTTCTCTTTTCTTATTCTGCCGTTCGTCCTCCTAAATACCCTTGCTTGAAATCATATATACCTTCCTTCTTCACTCAAAGATGCATACTACATTCCTTCTTCACCCCATTTAATTTTCTTTGCTTTATGCTGCAACCTTTCTCTTTTCTTATTTCATACAAATATTTCTTCTTCTTTTTGTGCTTTTCTTTCTTTACTTTTATCATTTCAGACGCAAAAATATATTATCAAGTAATTTAACACAGGAGTTAATGAAGTAGATTTTAAATATATATCTTGCTATACTTATATATTATTTTATACGTAAAATTTGATTGTGTAGCAATTTGTTTTTACACCCACTAATTGTATTTTCATGTTCAGTGTAATATTGAATTCTTTTCCAAAGACATTTCTTATAGAATAAATTAATGTAGATTCTAACACATTAACATGTTATAAAAGTAAAGAAATATATGTTGTAATTAATAAGGGTGGAACCAAGTAGGCTTGACAGCAAGGCAGAAGATGAATTACATGCTTCCTTCTTCAAAAAATCACTTTCTTTGCTCAAATTTTTCTCTTTTCTTATTTCATTATATACTCCTCCTCCTTTTGATTTGTGCTTTCTTATTCTTATCATTTCTCAAATTGCATTCGTCCTCTGTTTACAACTATCTCACAAATCTCTCCTACAATCCCTTTGCTTATATTTATCCTTCTTTCACCTTCAATCATTCAAATAGAATTCTCTCTTTCACCTTGCTTGAAATCATTTACTTCTTTTCCGTTTGTTCTTATCATTTCACAACATTCAATTATTCATTCTTTAATTAATTTCTTCATCCGATTGTGTTTGTGTCCTCCTCTCTGTTGCAAACTAAGCCACTAAATTTCTCTAAAAAACCTTTCCTTCAAATCCTTTGTCCTTCCTCACCTTCAAAGAGTACTTAGTACAAAAAAAAAAAAAAAAAAAAAAAAAAAGCCATGGAATTTCTTTCTTCAAGTACTGTGGAGTTGGAAAGTGCTGGTTCGCAGCTGCTGGTGATCAACTTGGTTACTTGTTTCATTACAACAACAATGTTGAAAACTTGAAAAAGCAATAAGAAGCTGGAGATGGCAGAGACATGGTGCAAAAGAAAATCGAATTTGCTAAGAAATGGAGAAATCTTCCTCCTATGTTCAAAGTTGGATAGTTGAAGTTGACAATATTTCCACAAAGCTCAAAAGTTTTTTGAGAGGAAGACAAAGCCACAAGAGGTGCCTCAAAGGGTGGTGCATTAATCTCAAACCACTTTATCATTCAGAAGGAGGAAAGAAGCATACTCTGGTGATTTCTGACTACCTCCAGGAAGTGGGAAACTTTGAGAGCGTGTCTTGTCCTGCTCCTCCATCTGGATTATATCGTCTCTAAAGTATTTATTCTGGCCCTTTCGAATCTAGAAATTCATCAAGAGGAAAGTTATGAAGGCGTTAATTGATGATCTAAGGTTAGCACAATTGGAATATGTAGGGGGGTGTGGGTAAAACCACACTAGTTAAAGAAATCACCAACATGTAAAAGAAGCTAAGATGTATGTGCTGAAGTGATGGCGGTTGTTCTCTCAACCCCTAGTATTATGAAGATTCAAGGCGATATGCTGACGTGTTAGTGCAACGAACTTCTTGCCGGCTAATTCTGAAAAGCAAGAGCAAGTTTCCTATGGGATAATCAAGAAGCAGGAGATCCTCATTATTTTAGTACTGTTTGGGAAAGAATCAAATTGGATGAGATTGGTATTCCTTTTGGGAGTGACCATGAGGTTTTAAATTTTATCACACCTCTCGAAGCAAAACGTATGTAATCAAATGGAGTGCAGGAGATAATACAGTTGAAACTTTATCAAAACAAGAATCTGGGCACTTTCAGCAGATTGTCGACTCGAATGTCGAAATTCTGACATAAACTCTATTGCAGAGTGATAGCTGCCAACTGTGGTGGCTTGCCACTTGCAATTGTGATAATAGCGGGAGCTTTAAAGGGCAAGAACAAGCATGTGTGGAGAAACGCGGCCCGACAACTTCAAAAGTCCAACCCATCTGACATCCCAGGCGTGGAGGGGATCTTATTTTCATCTTTGGAGCTGAGCTTGCATTATCTAGAAAAAGTGGAGTCAAAATCACTTTTCTTATTTTGTAGCTTATTTCCAGAGGATTACGAAATTCCAATTGAAGTTTTAGTGAGATACGCGATTGGTCAAAGGTGGTTTAAAGTTGATGAGACAATAGAAGATGTCAGAGATAGAGTTCATGCTATTGTAAGTACCATCACTTCTTCCTTTCTCTTAATTGATGATGATGATGATGGTGAAAAGTATGTTAAAATGCATGATGTAGTGCGGGATTTCGCATTGAACATAGCTCCTAAATACAACTACCAATTCTTGGTAAAAGCTGGCATTGGTCTACGAGAGTGGACAAATATAGATACATTTGAAGATTTCACATGTATCTCACTAATGTCAAATAATACTATAGAGCTACCTAATGAGTTAGAATGCCCAAAGTTACAGGTTTTGATGTTGCAAGGCAATTTTGAGATTTTTTTTCCTGAGAATTTCTTTGAGATTTTTTTTCCTAAGAATTTCTTTCAAGGAATGAAAAATCTTAATGTTTTAAACTTGAGTGGATTCACGCTCTTGTCATTGCCTGATTCACTTTCATTTCTTTCAAATCTTAAAACATTGTATGTTAGTGGTTGCAAGTTGGGTGACCTATCAATGATTGGAGGTCTAAGTAAACTAGAGATTCTTAGCCTTTCTAGATCTTCTATTCAAGAGATCCCTGTTTCCTTTAGCCAATTAAGTAATCTCAGGTTATTAGATTTGAATAATTGTTGGGAGTTAACACTAATACCTCGTGGTGTTATATCCTTTTTTTAAAAGTTAGAAGAGTTGTACATTAATAGATTTTGGCAATGGGAATATGAAAGTGAAAATTTGAAAAGCAATGCCAATCTTGTTGAGTTAGAAGCCTTGTCCCGATTGACTCATTTAGAGATTTCTATTTCAAACCTTGACCTCTCACCAAAATTGTTGGTATTCCAAAATAATCTGTCCAACTTTAAATTAAGAATAGGTTCTAGTGAATATTTTGATTATTTGGATGAGAGTGTATACTTAAGAAATATGCATGTCTCACAAACCAACATTTCAAAAATACATGATTGGGTTAAAGGTTTGCTCAAAAGAATCGAGTGGCTACGTTTAGAGAAAATTCATAATTTAGAGAGTATTAGCCATAACCTAGTTGAAGAAGGGTTCAGTGAATTGAAGTATCTTCATATCACATCTTGTGAATCATTGGTGTATATATTTGATTGTAAAGATATTAAGATTGTAGAGGGAGAAGCCAAGTTACTCTCATCGTTAGAGTATCTAAGCTTGAATTCTTTGCCAGAGTTGTCACATATATGGAATGGTGACCATCATCAATCCATAAGCCTTTGTAGCTTGAAGAGAGTACAACTTTGGTCATGCTATAAGTTGATAAAACTATTTTCACCAACTCTACTCCAAAGCCTTATTTGTTTGGAAGAAATAGTTATATATAATTGCAATAATTTAGAGGAGATCTTTGAGAAGAAAGAAACTTTGGATGAGGAGTTAGACCACACCATAACCTCCCCAAGTTTGGGAAACCTGACTACTATANATGAAAACAATTAAAGAAAATATTGATAGAATTAGAGAATCTTTAGCTTGGATTACTAGTAGTAATACAAGAAATGCTGAATTTCAAGATGCTTGTATAAAATCAAATATGTCTCCTAGAACTTTTGCATTAGATATTCTTGTTAGATGTAATAGTATTTATTTAATGTTTGATTCATGTTTACCTTATGCTAATATAATTAGTTATTTTGTAGCAAATAATAGAGATCCTCATTATTTGGTAGAAACTGATTGGCATATAGCTAAAATATTTCATTCTTTTCTTAAAATTTTTTACCAATCCACTTTACAACTTTCTGGTGTGTATTATTCTACTAGTCCATTGATAATACATACAATTATAAAAATTTCTGAGTTATTTATAAAAAACAAAAACAATAAAATTTTAAAGGCACCAATAAAGGCAATGGAATTTTTTTTTTTTTTTTAAATATTGGCAACCCATTCATTTTCTTTATTGTTTAGGTGCTATATTTGATCCTAGAATTAAATTAGCAGGTTTAGAAAATGGTTTTGACCATTTATGTGAAAATTTACAAACCGAAGCATATGCCAATCAAATAGGAGAGGTCACAAATTCTCTTGCAGATGTATATTTCTAATATGAAAACAGGTATGGAAACCCGCAAAGAAGCGAAACATCCAAGGAAGTTGCATCAGAAGAAACAAATGAAAACCTCTACTCTTGGAATGCACTGAATAGGCTGAAGAGGACCCGAATATGAAGCACATCCTCCTCTTCAGAAGCACCACCACCACCAACAACAACTAATATACTGTCCTCCATGTAGTTAGAGAGTAATGAGCTTTAGCAATATTTAGCAACCCCCGAAATGTTACCAGCAGATCCACAACAAAGACCTAACATTGATGTCTTAGATTATTGGAAAGTCAGAAAATGTATTTTTCTAGTATTATCAAGACTTGCCTTAGATGTTTTCGCTGTTCCTGTCTCAACCGTCTCATCCGAACAAACATTTAGTGCAAGTGGAAGAATTTTAAATGAAAGGAGGGCTAAACTTTCTTAAAAAATGATTGAAGTCCTCACATGTCTTCAAGATTGAGAACGGTCACGCCATCAAGATCAATACGAGGTTGTCGACGATACTTTAATAGAATAATTTCAATATTGTAATGTAGATGATACGGATGAGGAAGGTCCTAGTCAACCACCTCCAAATTAGTTGTTTTGTAAATTGTAACTTGTAAATTAATTGTCAATTATTACACTCTTTTTTTTTTTATCAAGTTTTTTGTCCCATTGGGCTTTTCTTGGTGAGGTTTTTAACGAGGTAGTAATTGTTGTAATTTCTTATTTTATTTTTTGATAAATGAATAAATCTAATTTTTCTTATATTACAACTTTATTGTATTAAAATTGAATTAATATTTGAAATGTTAACAACAACAAAAATTTAATTTAATTTAATTATTGATATTTGAAAAGTTAACTAAAAATAATTATATTTATTTATTTATAAATTATTAATTATTCATTTGAAAAGTTAACTAAACAAATAAAACAAAATTAAATAAAAATAAAAATAGGGGCTAACCTGGCCCGACCCACAGCCTAACCCAGCGGGTTAGGGTTGGCAGGCCTGGCTGGGCCAGCCAATTTCCAAGAAATGGCGTCAGTGACCCGCCGCGGTCGGGCGGGTCAATTTTCCACCATTATATATTACTTTGAAAATTATTGGGAAATTTTATATTAATATGTTTGGTAAGTTTGGAATAAATTGGTGGGACAAATAATTAATATATTTGGTTAAGAGGAATAATAGATTATCTGGAGAAGCTTTTACTAAATTGTCGTTCCTTCTTAATAATAATAATATTATTATTATTATAATTCAGAGTATTACTTTTAACCCCTAACATTTGATAATTTAATAAAACACCCCATCACAATAAGAGTTTAAAATTTAACAAAATAATCCCAATCAGGATGGGCATGTTTCCTGCCTCGAACGAGGTGGGGATTCCCCGAATTGATCGGGGAACATGGCGGGCCCAGGCCCAAAAGCAATGCCCCAATGGCAAGTTGAGCCAGGGACAGAGTTAGTCTCATCCTCGCCCCAGCTTCGAATTGGAATTTGAATGGCATCAATGTCAATGAGAGTACCCACCTCACTAATTTCAACAATAGCAATTCCTCAAAAACCTTTCACGACAATACTCACAAGAATTTATTTAAATCCCAACTTTAAAAACATTTAAAAAAAAAAAAAAAACTATTAGGATTGAATGAGAATGAATATTTTGTTCATTAATGGTTTATTTTGATATAATGGTTTAAAACTCATCATTTACATTTAGTTTTTTTTTTTTTTTTTTTTTAGTGATCGGGATTGTAAGGGTCAGCTTACGCACAACTCGACTAATCCCTTGGAGCCTGAAGTTAAAGATCAACTAAACTCCCAATTGCTAATGCCCTGGCCTGAAGTTAAGGATCGAGTTCAACTAAACTCCCAGTTGCTAATCTTTTCTTTAAATCCCAACTTTAAAAACATTAAAAAAAACTACTAGGATTGAATGAGAATGAACATTTTGTTCACTAATGGTTTATTTTGATGTAATGGTTTAAAACTCATCATTCCCATTCAATTTTTTTGGTGGCCAAGATAGCTTATGCGCAATGCGACTAATCCCCCAGGGCCTGAATCCAAGGATCGACTAAACCCTCGATTGCTAATCCCCTAAGGCCTGAAGTTAAGGATTGAGTTCTGATCTCCCGTGGCCTAAAGTTAAGTATCAAGTAAACTCTCGATGGGCATCCCTTATTAGCAACCGAGGGAATCAAACTCAAGACCTCTTAAGTAATACACCCAAGAGTCCTAATTGATCACCCGACCATCCAAGAGTGGTTATTTCAATTCAATTATTATATAATTGAGAATTGTGTAATTTCATTGTTGGTAGACTTAATGATATTAATTATTTTAAGAGATAATATAATAATAAAAATTCTTCTTAGATTTTTAAAATAACAAAAACCCTTCCGATGGATTATTAGTAAATTGTTAAAATTTATACTACTACAGGTTAGTAAATATTACCTAAATTATTCTATTTGAAGTTTTAGCATTAATCATAATCATGTATTTTATTCAAGTAAAACTCAGATCAATATAGAATTATATTTGCTTTCAATATCTAATTTTCTTGCAGATAATTATTTTAAAGTTTCCAGCTGGTTTCATCGCAAGTTGTGGGAAATTAAATTGGTAGGGTAGGGTAACATCATAGTTTATTATTTCCATTGATTAAATTCCGATTATAGCTTTATTCATTATAGTCAAAAGTTTTGACATTAATGGGCCACCGATGCCCAATAAAGCTACGAACACCGGGGTTTTTACACCAAAAATGTATACCGGCCTACATGTCTCCCGACTCACACCAGCAATTCAGACACGTGATTAAACAATAAATATTTTTTTAGTGAACAGCCGTCCATCAAATATGGACGGTCGTTCACTTACATAGACTCTCGTCCATATTATATGGACGGGGGTCCATTTACTACGAACGGGCGTCCCCATTTAAAAGACGTTTGTCCATCAGTAAAATAGAATAAAAAATTCTTATAAAAATTAAGGACGGCCGTTCATAGGTTGTGGATGGCCGTCCCTTCATTTTGGACGGGCGTCCGTCCAAACTTAATTTTGTTTAAAAAATAAAATAAAAAATTTGGACGCTCGTCCATAAATTGTAGACGGGAGTCCCTTAAGTTTGGACGAGCCGCCCGTCCATTATGTATGGACGACAGTCCACACTTAAGGGACGGTAGTCCCTTATGTAAACAGCAAATGGACAAATGAGGCAGAAAGGTGAGAAATTTCTCTGTTTCTAAACTACAAAT